TCCTGTAGAGGTCAGGTGTCCGTCCATCACTTCCTGTAGAGGTCAGGTGTCCGTACATCACTTCCTGTAGAGGTCAGGTGTCCGTCCATCACTTCCTGTAGAGGTCAGGTGTCCGTACATCACTTCCTGTAGAGGTCAGGTGTCCGTCCATCACTTCCTGTAGAGGTCAGGTGTCCGTACATCACTTCCTGTAGAGGTCAGGTGTCCGTCCATCACTTCCTGTAGAGGTCAGGTGTCCGTACATCACTTCCTGTAGAGGTCAGGTGTCCGTCCATCACTTCCTGTAGAGGTCAGGTGTCCGTACATCACTTCCTGTAGAGGTCAGGTGTCCGTACATCACTTCCTGTGCACTCAGGTGTTTTGAAATTCCGTTTTCTTGTTTGTTTGTTTTTTTAATCTTTGATCAGATGTGTTTTAATCAGACCAGTTCTGGTTTTCTGGGCCTGGTCTGTGTTTCTGGCTCTCAGGGGGACCAGGGAGTCCTCTGACGGGGGTCATGCGGCAGATGGGGGACAGAAAGAGGCCTCCCGCTTCCCGGAGCAGGACTGCATGCAGCTGAACCCGTCGTTCCGAGGCATCGCCATCAACTCTCTGCTCGCCATCGACATCAGCCTGTCCAAGCGTCTGGGCATGTGCGTGGGGGCTCATGGCCCCGGGGCCCCCCTGCGCTCCATGGTGACCCTGCTGGCCTTCACGGGACACGCCCTGCCCTGGATCTTCGGGACCCTGATCTGCCTGTGGAGGAGCAACACGCTGGCCGGACAGGAAGTGCTGGTGAACCTGCTGCTGGGTGAGACAGCTGAGGGACAGACAGGTGGTTCTGGACAGTCCCGCCTGTCTGTCCCTCTGGTCTTTAAGTGCCCTCTTGTTGGACTCTCTGCAGCCCTGATCCTGGACCTGATGACCGTGGCTGGGATGCAGAAGCTGGTCAAGCGTAAAGGCCCGTGGGACTTCCCTCCGGGGTTTTTGGACTACGTGGCCATGGACAGGTACTCGTTCCCGGCAGCCCACGCCAGCCGAGCCGCCATGGTGTCCAAGTTCCTGCTGAACCACCTGGTCCTGGCGGTCAGTGTCTTCCTGTCTCGTCTTTAATGTTTTACATCAAACCAAGTGTTCTGGTTCTTGTAGACCTGATCCAGAGTCGTCCCGCAGGTTCCTCTGAGGATCCTGCTCTACCTGTGGGCCCTCCTGGTGGGCGTGTCCCGGGTCCTGCTGGGTAAGCACCACCTGTCGGACGTGGGCTGCGGGTTCGCTCTGGGCTTCCTTCACTTCAGTCTGGTGGAGTCTGTGTGGCTGGACTCGGCCACCTGTCAGACCCTCGTCTCGATCGGCACGCTGCGCTGGACTCCACTGCTCTAGAACCCGTTTGAACCGGTTCTGCTGGGAGTCGGACTGCAACAGACTGGTGGGCTTCAGTTTGGACCGGTTCCTGTTGGGTCTGGGATTGTCCTCATGTGCACTCTGTAGTGGAAGGAACCGGTTTATGTGGGACTGAACCGGTTCAGACTGGTGTAAACGGATCGGTTTGGACCCTGTTGGACTGATTCTTCTTGTTTTCCACTAAACTGGTTTTGATTAGTCTGAACCCGTTTAAACTGGTTTGAAATTGTGTGCTTTGGCAGAATAATAAAGTTTTTGTTGGGTTCTGGTTGGTTTGTCTCAGAAGTGGAGACAGTATGAGCTGCTGGATAAATGTTCTTAAACTGGATTAAACTGGTTTACACTGGTTTACACAGATTTAAGCTGGTTTCAACTGGTTTATATCATTTTAAACTGGTTTAAAGTGATTTACACCATTTTATTTGGTTTAAACTAGTTTACATTGGTTTAAACTGGTTCGAACTGGTTTAAACTGGTTTTGATCAGTCTAAATCCATTTAAACTGGTTTGAAATTGTGTGCTTTGGCAGAATAATACAATTTTTGTTGAGTTCTGGTTGGTTTGTCTCAGAAGTGGAGACAGTATGAGCAGCTGGATAAATGTTCTTGAACTGGATTAAACTGGTTTACACTGGTTTCTTTATTTTCTCTCTTCTTCACTTCAGTAGAAAAAGGAACTGAACATTAGTTTCTTAGCTTCTTCATTATCAGTGACATTTTTTCTTATTTTTTAAAGAGGAAATGAGAAAAAGGGGAAGTATAATTTGAAAGATTAAAATAGAGATTAGAAAATTATTAAATATACACCAAGAAAACACAAGGCCACACACCCGACATCTGTCTGCTCACCTGAAAATAAACGGATATAAGAAAACATAGCAACAGAATACATATCCATATAATAATAAAATTAATTATAATTTTTCTGGAAAGCATGTATCTGTATACTGTATATACCCATTCATACACACACATATAT